TTAGAGATGATGTTGATTAAACTAATTCCTCTGTGGTTTTCACAGGATGATCTGTCACCTTTCTTGTGAATCGCTAAGATGACGGATTCACGCCGTTCAGTTAGAACTTGTTCCGTCTTCCACACTGAACCCAGGAGTTTCCCCAACTCAAAAACCGAGGTTGACCTTCCACCCTTAAAAGCTGCTAGCGACAGCCCGCCCGGACCGGAAGCGGTATACGTTTTGAAATAGCTGATTTCTCGGATAACCTCCAATTCAGATGGAGGACTGATATCGATTGACAGTGTTTACCCAATTGAAGCAGGATTTAGGAGATCTAGTGTTGACGGCGGCCAGTTAAACTATACCTTAAGATGTTCTACCCATTGTTCAAGACGGCGTTGTTGAATCCGTTTACCGTCAGACTCGTTATGCACCTCACCTTTACTTTCCTTGTATATGTACTCATTGGGTGCATGAGTCTAAGGGCCCGTCCTGAAAAGCGAAAGGACAATCAACGCACCAGCGAACAACGAACTTAACCGAAATTCAAAGGCCTTGCGTGATAGGGACTCTAGAAGCGCCCACACGGGTGCTTCGTTCACACTCCCGCGTTGGATTTACGTCCCACTGCCTTGTGGGTCAGACTTTTGAGTCAAAGGCTCCGGTTAGGGTTCCCAAAGAAAAACCCCTTCGTCGCTGTGGGCTATTGCGAAGTATGCAGTGCCCTAAAGTCCTGGGCACCCATTTGGTAAAACCTCTTCCCGATCTATCTAGTTCTTCCTCTCAATCCCAAACAGTCCCAGATGCCTCTTGCTTACGCCACCCATCAAATATCAATTAACGTTTTACAAACAAGGCCAGACAATCAGAAATTATAGGATTTTTGAAGCCAAAATCCTCTTTCCACTTAGCCGCGTTCAATATCCACACTCTATCAGATTGGTCAGCAAGCTGCCTTGACTAGAACCATTGAAACTTTCAATTTAGATGTATGTTGTGTCTCCGAAACACGCGTACAAGACCCTAGTTCCATTATCTCCCTGCGTTCTCCTGATTCAACCTCAACCTCACTCTTCGTGTGTCATCCAATTCGGTATCCGAAGCTCGCAGTGTTGCTGGTGTCGGGATTGCTCCAAGTGCTAAGGCTGAGCGCTCGCCTCTTGACTGGATTCTAGTCAGTAGCCGACTGCGCTGTACGTTTCAACGGCTCAGCACGGGTCAACAGCTACAGAATGAAGCGTCGATTCTTTTTCGTCGTATCGGTGTATGCACCAACCCATTGCAGTGCACCTGAAATCAAAGATGAATTTTACAGGGAACTCTCCAAACTGCTCGGTCAACGGACATCGTGATAGTCGCTGGAGGCTTTAATGCTCAAGTGGGATCCCTGGACGAATCAGAAAAGCTTCTTGGTGGACCGCATGCAATCCCAGCCAGCCGGACGGACAACAGAGATCGTCTACTTCAACTCTGCGCGGACCACGGATTGTTCCTGTCAAGCACCAACTTCTCGCACAAGAAACGATGCCGCCCTACATTGAAACCACCAATCTCTTCAATGCGCTGGACCCAGATCGACCACATCATCATCAGTTACCGCTGGAGAGGGTTAATTCAAGACTGCCGTCCACACCTGTGGATACGGATCACTCTTTGCTACGAGCGATATTCTCCTTACGTATGGCAAACAACCGCAAAAAAGCCACCGGCAACGAATACCCACGATACAACGTCAGCGATTGCGGCAAATCGGCCTTCGAAACGGAACTCTCCGATCGTCTATCAGCTCAATCACCAACCGAAGGACTCCATGAACGCTGGAAGCAAATCAAGCTATGCAAATATCGATAAAAACAACGTCGGACTCTGCCGCAAGCTCAAAACACAAACGATGGATATCGTCGACCTCGGCTGCGCTACTGGACGCCCGCAGCACCGTGCCTCCGGATGCCACATGTGCCACGGCGCCAATCCCTCTAACGCCAGCTCATCAAGAGTCAGGAATAACCGCGAGAAGTAGTGGGTAGAGAAGTGTACAGAGATGGAGAAGGCTGCGGCTATCGGCAATAGTCGCAATCTTTTCCGTCTAATTAGGAACACAGGCCCNNCCCTAGGAAAATAGGCGTAAGTGAGGTAATTAGGGAATCCGATGACACACTGATTCACGATTAGCAACGTCGTCTTGACCTTTGGGACGAACATTTCAAGATTCAGTTCAACTAACCCCCATCGACATCTGATCTATCACCGTCCACCCTGACTGAGCAAATACTACCAGTTGATGCCAGTCCTCCATCTGAATTGGAGGTTATCCGGGAAATCAGCTATTTCAAAACGTATACCGCTTCCGGTCCGGGCGGGCTGTCGCTAGCAGCTTTTAAGGGTGGAAGGTCAACCTCGGTTTTTGAGTTGGGGAAACTCCTGGGTTCAGTGTGGAAGACGGAACAAGTTCTAACTGAACGGCGTGAATCCGTCATCTTAGCGATGGAGGTTGTATTGACTATATCTTTACTCTCCCTCAAACTCTGGAGCACCAACATTCTTTTCGTAGACCCACCATCTCTGTTCTTCTCGCTTTGAAAGTGGCCTTCGACTCAGTCGACCGCTCTAAACTCTGGCGCTGCCTTTCCCTGAAGGGTGTGCCCGAGGAGTTTATTTCAATATTGCTATCTCTTCATACTAATAGCCGAAGTCGAGTCCGTGCTTACGGCATGTTTTCACCTGAATTCACCACGGAAAGTAGTGTTCGACAGGGTTGCCCTCCCTCTTTTTCTATTTAATTTTGTTACAGATTCGATTATGGAAACAGCTCTATCCTCGTGCGAGGATAGCGGTATCGATTTACTCCCAGGTGGCAGGTGTCTTATCTGAGTTTCAGGTAATGGTGATCGTACACTGGAGGAAGTGGTCGACCTCCACATATTACGTTGGTTGGAACATGTGTTACGCATGTCACCAATTAGGTTGTCACGGCGAGCGATGTTCGCCAAGGTTTGTCAAGCTAAGACATGGAATGAGAGTATAAAATCCCTAAGCAGGAGTCTGGTTCATATAGGTCTCGTTAGGCTTCCTAGCTGGGGACCTTGGGATGATCGTAGCCGATTGTTCGAGACACTGATTGAAATGGCTGGAAGTAGTAAACAGTGGCATTCGTGCATCTTGTCGATTTCTTTGCAATGGAAATCGAGGTCGAGGAGTTCCATCGTTTGTGCTTTGATCGTTCGCAGGAATGCACCGTTGTTTTGTCTGACATCTAAACAGCTTCCTGGATTAACTTCCGCGTTCACTGAGCCCTTTGGCTGATGCTTAAACTTAGAAGAGATGGAAGAGTTCGTTTCGAAGACCGTTTCGTAACTATCACTTGCAATGTATTGTGTGTATCCGTTTCCATCAGCTTTTCTCAGTTGTTTGCCAGATTACGGAGAATCCGGTTTGTATCAGAGCATGGTCGGTGTTGACCATCATTCGATCCTCGCCAGCGATAGCTAATGGCGATTTGGTCGGTTTCCATTTAGGCGGTGTCGTTTCTTGTGCGAGAAGTTGGTGCTCAACAGGAACAATCCGTGGTCAGCGCAAACTTGAAGTAGGCTATTTCCGTCCGGTTGGTTGGGATTGCGTGCGGGTCGCTTAGGCACCTTTCTGATTCATCCAAGTGTCTCACTGGAGCATTTAAGTCCCCATCGACTACTACAATGTCCGTTGATCGAACACTTTGGAGCAGTTGAGACAGGTCCTCGTAGAATTCATGCTTTATTTCTGGCCAACTGCAGTCAGTCGGTGCATAAACGGACACGACGTATAAGCATTGACGCTTCGTTCGGTAGCTGTTGATTCGTACTGATCCATCGAGATGAACGGGTCAGTCGGCTGATAACCGGAATCCAGTTAAGAAGTGAACGCTCGGCCTTGACACTTGGCGCAATTCTGACACCAGCAACACCGCGAGCTTCGGATACCAAATTGCCTGACGCACGTAGAGTGAAGCGTGAGGTTGAGGTTGGGTCAATAGAGCTCAGGACGATAATTGAAGTAAGGTCTTTTATGTGGGTTTCGGAGATACAGCATCTAAATCGGAACTTGCTAGGTTTTAACTAAGGTAGCTTGTTGGCCGATCTGATTGGGTGTACGGACATTGGATGTGGCTAAGTGAAAAGGAGCTAGCTGTTTGTGGCTGATATTCACACAAACCTGTTCGGTTTTGGAGACCAGTGGCTTCTATCTTGGCACTTTAAGTAGCTAACTTCATAATTCTTCGTTGGCTTAGCTAAAGGTGTTGAGCCGGGCAAAAAAGGAGTTGTCACCAGTGCTTCGAAGAATTTTCAGTGGTGGATGAGGTATTGACTCTGCAGCACGCAAACATATAATAAGCACGTTTTTCTTATTACCCACTTTTGTGTGATGAACAGCAGATGAAGAGAACCCCATAGTCACGAACGCCTGCTGTTCAATGGTAAAAATCGATAAACCAAGCCCCGGGATTTGGAGTGGCGAACCAAATAAGGCCCTTGCTAGATCAGGCATGGCATTGAACCGGACGACATCAAAGTTGCCTGTCACCAAGTTGGGTGGTGATGGCGGGGATCAAACCTCGGACCATAGAGCCCAAAGCACACCAATGACAGCGACTAAACCACTGCGCCAGCACCACCCTGAAAAAACGTCTGAAAATCATGATCACTCTGAATCACAGTCTGGGTCAGTGCGGAAACGCAAGACTGTAATCATTCATCTAACCGTATTCTGGTTTCATTTACCCCTCAGAATCCTCGACAGCATGCTGAAAACCGCTTGAATTCAATTCGGCATTTCCTAATTGTTTACTTTACAGAATTCAAAAGGAGCTTGCGGATATCATGTCAGACCCACCGCCAAACTGCAGGTAAGTGAATTATCTCATTATATATATATATATATGTTCCTCTACTCCAGTGCTTTCCCACGTGGTGATAACCTGTTCGAATGGGTTTCCACTCTTCTCGGACCGTCAGGGTCCGTTTACGAAGGTGGTATATTCTTCCTCGATATACACTTCTCTTCCGAATATCCGTTCAAACCTCCAAAGGTAGGTTTCTCTAGTATCGCTTATCGGATTTGCTCTAGGTCACCTTCAAAACACGTATCTATCACTGCAATATCAATAGCCAGGGAGTAATTTGCTTGGATATTCTCAAGGTGAGTATGTGTTCTTGCTTGTCACTTCGTTCTCTTCTGTGCCTCAGTCCCACCATTTTCGATCGTTATCGTTGTTGCGTTGGCACCATGCTTATCAGTAAGCTGGTGATATATATATATAAAATTTAACCTGCTCAAATCGATCTCTTAACAAAGGCTTTCTTGCTCTTTCACCAGCCCCACCATTCGTTTCATTTTTTTCTACAAGCGTTACCCGTCTCGGTGAATAATATGCAACGAAGAGATTAATTTATGAAACCCAAACCATCGCACTTGTGTCCGTGCCCGACCCCCCCCCCCCCAGTTCAGAATTCCTTCTATTTAACAACCATAAACACATTCTCGATCAGGCCACCATCTAAGCCGGATTCGAACGCACCAACTGCCTTGGACAGTCGGCGGAGAATAATCCCCACGCGCGCATGCTAAATGTACCGTTGGTCAAGCGACTTTCTGAAAGACGTTTTCCCTTAGCTTATCATACTGTCTGCCAATCGATTCTCGTTTGTCCCTATGCGCTTTTTCACCCTGATGCTAAACAATTGGTTCTTATGCTTCTCAAAAACCGTGGATAGTTCATTGGGTTCTGAGTCCTCATACCTTTATTGATCCGGACCTTTAAAGGTATTTTCTTGAGCTGGCCTCGTTTCCCTAAAGAACAGCTTTATTCCTGTCTCTGGTTGGATTTTTAGTTTATTGCTAACTGGTTTTTCTTATTTATCCTAATGACCTAAAATTGAGGACTGATATGAGAATGATATGAATCTATTGCCATTCTGTTGCAATCCATATGTTGTGTGATGAAAAGTATCATGATACATAAAGTTTTCTGCCTGACTCAAAATCTTGTTGCGAAGAATTCATCGAAAGAATTGGTTCATCTTACGTCACCCAAGAGCTATGACATCTGCTCACATTTTGCAATCACGTTGGTCGGATTTCGATTCTCCAATCATCACTAGACGAAACCTTTGATCCGTACGAATAGAGCAGTAATGGAATTCGTGTACACCGTTCGTGCTCGGGGACACGTGCGGATGCTGATGACCGTCGCGTGCTGTGTAACTGGTTGTCGGTAATATGCACATGTTTCTTCCATATTCCTAAACCGGTCAGAATACATTTGGTGCTAGAGAGATCCAGGGGAAAGCAGTTTCTGTTTGATTATAATAAAAATCCATCTGTGACGTAGAATGATTTGTCTAAGCAAACACTCACAACAGATAGTCTTGATCTCTCTCTCTATCTCACTGAAGGGGGGGGGATTTGTTTTGTCTGTTCTTGTTCAACATGACTGTACAGGTTGCGCATCATTTTTTTCACTCCTTTCCTCATCTGATTTCTGGTACAGAATAATTGGTCTCCAGCACTGACTATCAGCAAGGTGTTGCTGTCCATTTGCTCCTTACTGACCGATTGCAATCCGGCAGATCCATTGGTCGGTTCAATTGCCCATCAGTACACACACAATCGGGCCGAGCATGATCGAATAGCACGGGTTTGGACGCAAAAGTATGCCAGTTCGACTACCTATCCGGTATCGGGGAACTCGCATCGTGCCAATAACCACGAGTCCCAATCTCGAGTGAACGGTTCTGTAACCGGGGCTTCCGCAACTCCAGGATTATCGTCTGTTCACTGTTCATCCTCGTCCTCATCGTCGTCTAGCTCGTCCGAATTGGGTGTGCTATCTGTGCCTAGTCGGGACGAACCGGTTAGCAGTGCGGCTTCCGGTGCGAGTACGACAGCTAGTCTAGAAGCTCGAAGCGATGCTGGGGAGAGCCTGGAGGATGGGCTCGAAGATGAGGAGGAGGAGGAAGAGGACGAACGTGATCCTGACCCGGAGGAGGATGAAGAGGATGACGATGATGACACGGCAACTGCTTCATCTACCGAACCGGCTTCCACACATCCGCCTCCTCAGCAGCCCGTTGCGCACCCTCGCCAATTGGCTTCTACTCGATGGTAGAATTTTTCATTTCCGCTCTGTTGCACGATTGATTAGTCGTTTTCTCTTTTTCTGCCCTTTCCCGGCGATATGCATATGCATATATATATATATATATATACACAAAAAATACTTATTTACCGACGCATATTATTATTGTTGCAATTACTGTTTTGTATGTGTCTGTGTTTATGCTGACACGTGCGCACTCATTCGCACACACATGTGTGTGTGTGCGTGCATTGTTTTTTCTCCCTCACTCTCTCTCTCTGTACAGCAATCAATCCCATCGTTTGTAATTTGACCTCATCTCCCTGTCCACTTTCGAGCAAGCGCACAGGGACAGCAACAATTGTCTCACTCACTCTCTGTGTGTACACTTCGCGGCAGGGGTTCAAGCGAACCCGCTACCTGGTCACACACGAATATATGCGTACATATATATCACGTCTTCGTGCCTCTTCGCTTCTATNNTACAACTTCTCACATTGTCATGTCAGCACGATTGCCCATTATCGTTCACTTCTTGTTCTCTGACCTGGACAGTTGATGCATTTCGTTCGCTCACCACTAGACCACATTGCCAACCTAACCGATTCGAGCAGATCCTATTCCTGTTCTCAAACAATTGTCGTGCTTCCTTTCTGTCCGCATAGTATGTTTTTCCATTGCCCACTCAACTAGCTTCCATCTCTTCAATAGTCTAGGATTGTTCTCGCTATCTGTCCCACCACTCCCATTGAGTTCACTCCACTCTACTGTCGGTCGTACAATATCCCCCATTCCGTATCCCGATTTATGCTAACTAACTAGCATTGTCTGTTGCCTGTTTAATTTCGAACAATTATGTTGCATTGTGCTCAGTCTCTGTTTCCCTCTTCCCATCCACTTGACCGTAGCCCCCCCCATCTGTCCGCTTTGTTTGTCGCCGTTTCCTTTCTGCACACCGTTTCTCNCCCCCCCCCCCCCCCCCGAAACCAAAACCATGCCACTGCCAGACACGTACGTGTGTCCGTGCCCACTTACACACACACATATCGGACAATTGTCTGTGGTGCACATTGCTTTCTGGTAATACCTTTTTCAGCTTCTTTATATATATTTTCTCCCTCTTCCCAGCCGTTGATAAACTTCACTTGATCGTAAAAGATGCCAAAAAGCAAGAATGTTTGATCCGATCAACCCCATTGGGTTTTTTTAAATCGTTGACACTTCCGTACTCATGACCCTTCCTCTCGGGTCACCTTCCACCACGATCTCGGTTACCGTTGCTGTTGTTGTTGTTCTTCTTCTATTATAGCGACTTGTGGTTAATGTCAATACCGCGGTTGGTACATTTCATTTTCTACTGTGTGCAAG